AGCTTATTCTTTTATTATCCTCTCCAGTTTAATAAAGTTCAAAATAATGTAGAAATGCTGAAGTTCTAGTAGGTTTGATTAGCCTTTTTAGCCCTACTGTGTGAACCAAATGTGTGCTCCTAACTCCAGTTATGTACCTTTGGTGTTGATAGACATACACCCCTGTACTTCCAGAACAACCTGGGGAAAATTCGATCAAACTTGAATGGATGTTTGACATTAAAAAGGCAATGATTGACAATATCTAATATCTTGTTGTGTACTTTCCAAATGAGAGTTTGAGTTTTAAGGCGTTCTCAAAAGAAAGTCTCCTGCCACCTATCTATGATGGTGTCTCACAGCAAAGAGTGAAATCAGCAAGCTGTGATTAAAAGTTTTATTATGCTAGATAAGAGAATAGTCTCCCTGGAATGATCTTCTCTTTTCATTTTTATTTGTACAATGGTACACAGCTTTTGAACTCAGTCATCCTTTTAATTTCTCCAGCACTGACTTGGCAATGTGCTTTAAGCTGTAGAAACAACCTGACTTTTTGAGTATGGTTACTTTCTGTATTACTTCTGCTTGCCTGGCATTGTGCTTTGCCTTTTCTTTATGCTTTGCTTCTTGGCTTCCTTTTCTTCTAGAAGAGAAGTTCCTTCTTTCATGATAAAAACTTCATTGAAAAGCTATCACATTCAGTAAGGGGCTTTCGGTGGAATTAGAAAAAGGCTCCTGTGGGGAGCAAAAGAGTGATGTTGCAATGGGAGGCTTGGCACACAGCTCCTTTGGAAACTCTTCCCAGGTCTTCTGCTTCTCCGGAATCATGGCAACACTACCACAAGCAATGAAACACATTTTTCTGACAAATTAAGCATAAAGACTATTCAAAGGGAGACCTTGTAACTTCTGCTTTTTGGGAAAAGATTTTGTAAAGTAATTACATTAATCCTTAAACACCTAGTATAGGCCAATGAACATATTCATCAGGCAGTTTTAAAGATGATCACTGGTATGTGCTGCAACATGTTCTTCAAAAGGAAGGGGAATCTTGCTGACTTTACATTAATATAAGCTGACGTAGAAAATGTACTGAAGAGTTGAAGGAAAAATTTATTGGCTGCACATCCTCTTAAAAAGACAGAGCTTCCCTCCACCCTCTTGCACCTTCTCAGAAGAGTTGTCTAGGTCAATACTGGTTTGGCATCTTACTCCAGGACCTGGAAGGCAGCTATAGAAGTTAGTTCTCCTGACTTTTCTATAGACTCTGAGGAGTCCTTTCTGCCTACCCAGGTATTGGCTGTACCCCTGCAGACAGATGCTCTTTGCTCCTGCTGTTCTGCTTGGAGAGAGCTAATGGAAAGCGCTGAAGTTGTGAATTTCACCCACAGGAAGAACAGAGGGCTAAGATGCTCGCCAGTCACTGTGAGCTGCCAAAGCACTCTTGCTGTTGTCCCTCTCTCCAGATCTGAACTGCCCAACAGTATAAGCAAAAATATTACTTGTTTCTGTTAAATGTTACTTGTTGAAGTATCAAGACAAACATCTAACTCCCACATGACAGCAAAGTTACATGTAACTGAAACATAATCACCAAATTTCTTGATGTCTCCTAGCTAGAAAAGTACTCATCTTCAAACGCATGTCCAAAGCAAATGGCTCATCCCATTGGATTTGGTTGAACAAAGCTATTACTTTTATCTAAGAAAAACTGATATTTTTACTTTTTACTCTTCTTCACATTGTGTGTATCTGACTGCTTTTGTCTTCACTGTGTTGTCCTCAAGCCCAGTTATTTTTCTATTGAAATTGCTGTTGACTTACAGGAAAAATGAATACATACACCCCTCCTACCTCTTAACCTTGTCCATTTTTTTATTCTTCCAAATCCTCCTCCTTAATTGATTTTGCATGTTGCTTTCCTGTTGGGGTCTTTTTGTTTTGTTTGGTTTGGTTTGGGTTTTTGTTTTGTTTGGTTTTTGTGCTTTTGTTTTTTTTTTCACAAGGGGAGGAATTTGAAGTCTAGTTGCAGGTTTCACTTTGGAAAATCTTAGGCTTTGGAGGCTAATGGACCTGCTTCCAATGCGTACACTTTGATGCCAGTCCTGCAATGTGAAAATGTAACCTCCTTTCCCAAGTGAATGAGTGCCAACTTCATCCTGTTTAAATAGGACCTGAGTTTGCTAAGTATACTGCAGGATTTGGCAGCTGGTGACAAACAGATAACAGATTTACAATAAAAGTTATTATGTGGGTACACCTAATTTACTCCCTTTATATAGTAGCTCCCATTCTTACTACCTGATAGAAGATGTCTGGGCATACTCAGGGCAATCAGCTCTAGGTGGCCCTCCTTGAGAATGTGGGGTTGAACCAGATGGCCTCGAGGTCTCTTCCCACCTCAACCATTCTGGGGTTCTATGAAAATGAGGACAGTTTTGCTGGAATGTTCAGCCATGACTCTTTCACAAATGTTTTCTCTTAACCTTTCGCTTAATCTCTTTAACATAACCATTATTAGAAACACTGCAATTACTGGGTTTGTTGCAACAGAAGTCTAATGTTGTTGATTATGTGGGAGCCATTGGGTATTTCCATTTTGTCAGAGATATATTCAATTATTTTACTTTATGAATTATTAGACAGCAGTTAATACCTTTATTTTAAATCCTATATTTTAACTAACTGGACATAATCCTTCTTGCACTGTGTAAGAACAATTTTTTATATTGTGGTCCTGTATCTACTATGGATAATTTATCTTTCATAGATGGCTGCCACTTTGTTCATAAATGTTTTTACCAATAACCTTATTGCATATACACTAGTGCTGAAAGTACATAGCTAATGAATTTATATCATATAAATTTTTAATAACAGAAAAAAACCTTAGAACTAATTATATTTCAATGTACTTACTGGACTGTTGACTACAAAGGTTAATGAATCTTGTGGCCACTGCTGTAAAAAAACCCCAGAACACTTTTCTGTCAATGTGAATATTTTATTTGTATTACTTTTTGAGAAGGTACTAGTCAGTCTGCTGCTGCAGCCTTCACAGGCTGGAAATGAGTTGGCCAACACATTGACCTACATGTGAGCTGTGTGTAGACAAACAGCAAAATTGTATGGCTGCCAAGGCCCACGGCAAAACTTCCCTTGGCTTCCATCAACAAGCCTTTCATTGGCATGGCAAACACTTAGGGAAACTCTAGTTGAAGTAATTAGTTTGTGAACCCTTTGGAAACGGCCTGAGTAAAGCCAGGACAACCTTGTGGGGAGGGGGAAGACTGAAAGCTGTCCCAGGAAGGTGGTAGAGAGGCAGGGAGCGGGTCCAGTGTGCCAAGAATGGGATCCAGCAGGGCCCTACGTGCCTTCATTACAGTGCACCTCCTGCCACGACCTGCCTGTTCGGACCACAGAGCCACATCAGATGCCTTGGTGTTGGAGAGCCACCCATGCTGCTGATGTTGTCTTGGTTGGTTTGTCTTGGTCCTTGTGGTACGGCTGTTACCCGTCAGCACAGGAGATTGGTTCTGTTTCACAGAATCACAGAATCAACCAAGTTACCTGTCAGCACAGGAGATTGGTTCTGTTTCACAGAATCACAGAATCAACCAAGTTGGAAAAGACCTCTGAGATCATCAAGTCCAACCTATGACCTAACACCACCTGGTCAACTAGACCATGGTACTAAGTGCCACACGCAGTCTCTTCTTAAATACGTCCAGGTACAGTGACTCTGCCACGTCCCTGGGCAGCTCATTCCAACGTCCGATCACTCTCTCTGTAAAGAACTTCTTCCAAATGTCCAACCTAAACCTCCCCTGACACAGCTTAAGGCTGTGTCCTCTTGTCCTACTGCTGGTTGCCTGGGAGACTGACCCACAGCTGGCTAAAACCTCCGTTCAGGTAGTTGTAGAGAGTGATGAGGTCTCCTCTGAGCCTCCTCTTCTCCAGGCTAAACAACCCCAGCTCCCTCAGCCTCTCCTCGTAGGACTTGTGCTCCAGCAACCAGCCTTGTTGTCCTTCTTTGGACACGTTCCAGCGCCTCACCATCCTTCCTGAACTGAGGGGCCCAGTTTCCATCTCGCGTTCACCAAAACCATCTGCCATCAAGGAAGGAGTAAGAACTGCGTTAGCTGATCAATGCGGAGATGTCTAGTAGATGCAACTCAAGGGACAGACTTGCAGAGATGCATCTTCCACCAGACCTTGGCGTCTTCCAGCACCATGGGTGAGACATGGCCACTCTCCCGGACAGCGTCACCAGCGAGGCACCTGTGCCCAGGACCTGCCCCACGGGTCTCACCCACCCATACCAAGGTGCCCCAGCCCAACCACGGTGCCAGGGTAGCCAATGAGGTGCCAGGGTGGGGAGGTGTGAGCCACGCCCTGCAGGAGCCTCTGCCAATGGGGAGCCCAGCAGCCAAGCCTTGCCTCACCCCATTGGCTGGGAGACCTGAGAGGGGCCTCCAGCACACGCAGGTGAGGCTTCGCCCACCACTCTCCGGAACCAGGGCAGCGGGGATGGGCTGTCACGTGGCGGCCTCGCGTGGTGGGCACGGTGTCAGCAGGCCCCTCCCACTCCGGGGTGACGTCACGGCTCTCGCGAGAGCGCTCACTGCTGCCCCTTGCGGACGCCGGTGAGCCCTGCGCTCGGGGCCCGCCCCCTCATGAGGCCCCGCCCCCGGCCGCGCCCAGCTCCTCCGGGTAGCCAATGGGAGCGTTGCTCCAGTCTCTTCCCATTGGCTGTCCCCCTGGCATGCAAATGAGCCTCGACGTCACTTCCTGGGACAAATCGAGCGCCATTTTCTCTTTCTGGCGGCTGATGCGGCGCGGGCGGAGGCGCGGGGGGCGGGCGCTGAGCGGGGCGCTGAGCGGGGCTCCGGCGGTGCCGCCGCCCTGGCGGGGCGCGCGGTGAGCGGGGCGGGCAGCGGCGGCGGCGGCAGAGGAGGCGGGGCCGCGGGGCGGGGCGGCGGGCGCGGCGCGGCGGGCGGGGGCGCGGCGGCACGGGCAGAGCCGAGGGCAGAGCCGGGAGCAGAGCCGTATCCTTGAGCGGCGGGGGCGGCGGCCGTGCGGGACCGCGGCGCGGCGGGCGGCGGCAGCAGGAGGAGGAGCAGGAGCACAGATCGGGAGGAGGAGCGGCGGGGGCTCCCCCTGCAGCCCGGCCGGGTACGTGCGGCGGGGCGGGGCGGGGCGGGGCGCGGCGGAGGGCGGGGAGCGCTCGGGGGCTGCGTGCGCTCGGCGCGGCGGGAGCTGCGAACATGGAGCGCTTTCGCCCGGAGCGACGAGACCGGACGGGACCCTTTCCCTGCCCGCAGCCCCCGCCGCGGCCATCGAGGGAGGCGATTAGCACCGGGAAAACGCGATGCCTCCCTGTGAGCGGCTGGTTCGCTTTTTATTTGCTAATTCCAGTCCGGACTTCAGCGATAGGGTGTGTAAGGAATGGGCCGAATAGGTTGTCTCGAAGTCTGTGGACGAGTATTTTTAATTACTTCTAGTGGATTGTTCTAATTTGAAGCAGTTTGTAGTAAAGTGTTAGCTTGGATGGTGGGAATGGCTTGCGGGCAGAATCAGCACTTAACCATCAGTTAATGGGATCAGTTAATGACAAAAGTCAGTGGGATGCAAAATTACGTTGACTATCCTTGTGGTACCTCAGCAATGCATGCATTTAAAAACAAAGAATAAGTTTATGAATAGTGTGTACAAACATAGCCCGCAGGATGCAAACCTTGAAAACCATCCAAATGTGCTTGCCTTGTGCTCGAGGGCAGGTAATGGGGAGTTTCAGTTGTCCTGGTTTGTAAACTAAATAAATGGCACGTGTTTGACTCCTGCTGCAGCGGTTCATAGTTCTGTATTGTCAAAATTACAAACAACTCACAACTGATAAAGTTCTGACATGTCAGTTATTGGGGAGGAATTGGTTGTTGTTCTTAATAGTTTTCAATTGTCAAAAGTAAGTCTTTGATCCCCTAAAACTGTAAAGACTTAAAATGAACTGCTTGTAAAGACTAACTCTTGGAATATATACTCTATATTCTAGAAATCCTAGTGCTGCTTTTAATAAACTTTCTGTTAAATTTAGATCAAGAAAAGGGGATTTCTTTAGCACAATATCTAGCCAAACTGTGGGTAAAAAATAAGGTATATTATAAGCTGTAAGAAGACCTGTAATTCCTATGGTTCATTTAATGAAAGTTTTGTAAAAAAACAACAACCCCCCCCCGATTATAGCAAATCTTCAGAAACGAGGAAGAGCACGCAGAATTTTGTAATACCTTTTGTTTTTCGATTGGGAGCTCCTTGATTTGGGTTAAATCCAACTGAACGCTGGTAGAGCTGGCTTGTGTTGAACACTTCAGTCCTTCTGCTGAAACCTGTTTCACTTCTGTCCCCTTGCTGAATTATTAAGGTTTTGTATTATCTGTGCTGTGGACTGTTCTGTGCATCTGTGAAGTGCAGAGTCTTTGGGTCATACCAAACCTACTAGTGCAGTACAAATGCAGTTGTACTTCCTCCTAGAGTAGCTGGGCTTGGTGTGTGACTCTTCTGCTCTCATACACATGGGGCTGATGAGTCCTGCAGGATTTGAGTTGGCTCCAGGCACATGCTTAGGTCACCTGGGATGAACTTGAATCCTGCTGGGTTAAAGTTCTGGCTAATGCCCAGAAGGGACTCCCAAGGGAGTCAAAGTGTTGTGTGAGTTAGTGCTCTAGGAAGGCTCCATGAGTTTGAATGGTGTTGTCCCTTCTTCTGACTAGTCTTGGATAACAGGGATTTGATCGTGTGTTAATGAACCATCACAATAGTTATTTAAACCACAGCAAGTAAGATTAGCGATCTAAATTCGTTTTGATTTGACTTGTTAGGCAAGATGCAGGTTGGTGTGCTCTATCTTTATCTATGTAGTGACATACCTTAGTGCTCTTCCTTGTGTAAGCAACTGTTGAATGATGGCTGTCTTTGTGTTGGGCTACGTGACCTTTTTAACGGGTATGTGATTTCTAGCCATGAGAACAGCAAAATTATTGTGACTTTAGAATGAGTTCTATGATTCCAGATCCCCAAAGGTTTCTGCTTTAGTTGCACAAAGAAAAGTTTAATATTTTTTTAATCTGAGAATTCTATCACATTGTACTTGGATAGAAATTGGAATTTAAGATGATAAAGAGGAATTATGTTGTTGACCAGAACTGCTCATGTTATTTTTTAATAAGGTATATTTTAATTTACAACAAGTTCAATAATAAACAAGAAGAATATCTGTTCTAATCAATTGACTGTTTTTCTTTCTGGGATCAAATCTCCCAAAGCTGTTAAAACACCTAGAGAAGTTGATAGGAAGCTATAAGCATTTCTTCCCTCTTCCTCCATAGGCTGGATAAGCTTTGATGGTGCCGATGTACTTGTAAATCTGGTTAGGTCTCTCTCAGAAGGCACAGATAAGAGTCCAGGAAGTGGAACCGACCATATAATATGTGGTTAAGCAGATACCCAGGTGTGACCTCTTGTAGGACTTGTAAGCTTATCAGAAACAAAACAAAATTGATGAGAGTAAAACTCCACATGGCCAAGCCGAACTCCCATTATTCTAGTCACTTTCTCAATGTCCTCCTCGCTGCTCTCTTTGCCACCCAGTGTTCCTGTGCTTTAGATTTTTAGAAATAGTAGATCACAGGCTCTCATTTCATTTTCAGGAGTAAAGCAGTTTTTACTGTTTTCTCAACCAATACTATCAACTTCTAATGACTTTACTGAAATGAAAATAATTCTTTATTGGTGCATATCAATTCTGATAACTGCTGAAATACAAACTGATAAACAAACCTTTATAAATATTCCCACCCAAATGTCCCAAAACCTGTAAGCCTTTATAAAGATCAAAGTCTTTGTAAAAATCTTTCTCAGTTACTAGATAAAATGTATAAAAACTAAGGCAGATAATATGAAAGGACAAAATACCATAAGCCTTTCATAATTTCCCTAACTATAAGCAGTTCTGTGAATAATGGATTAGTGAAGCCCAGCTTCCTAGGAACACATCTGGAGATCTGGCTTCCGTGTGGATTATCTGGTGTCTAAAAAGGGTTCCATTGCAGCTACTTTCTTGTGGGTCTTCTTAACAGTGTTTCTTTGTAGCTGCCTCTTTTCCTGAATACCTAGAAATGCCTGATTATCTGGTTTACTGGGTTTTGCTCGGAGTTTTCGCATGCACATTGAGGGCACATTTGTGCATCTTCCCTACTCCAGCCCATACCAAGTCTGTATTTAATTTGCTTGCAAATGCCTGCTTTCTGTAGGAACACGAATGAAAGTGGTGCTGATTTGATGTAAGGAAAAAAGCTCTCACTGTGAGCACAGGCTGTTACTGGGAGAGGTTGCCAGAGAGGCTGTCAAACCTCTGTCTGTGGAGATTTTTCAGGATCTGACTGGCCAAAACAGAGAAACAGAGTGCTCTGATTACAGTTAATGGCTGAGCCTGCTTACTGGAGGCTGGACTGGGTGTTCTTTTGAGGTCCTTTCCAAGGTGAAGGAGTATTGTTCTAAGGAGTAGGAGAAATAGGAACTTTCCATTTCGTGGTGACTTCTCACTTTAAAGAGGTGAAATATTAGTATTTTTGCAATTTTTTCTTAATGAGGAGAAACGACAGAAGATAGGTACTTGGTAGACTAGTGACTGACTACTAAGATACTGTTACCTTGTTGTTTAGGCTAGCCTTAAAATACTGCAGTACTACCGGAAGGAAAGAGTTGTATCTGTGATCTTTGCTGAAAAGCTGAAGGTATTTATATGTTACAGTCTATGGTAACAAATGTTGTAGAAATGAATGGAACCTGTAGTGTTGCATAAAACTTCAGTTTGTTGTATCATTATGGAGGTCTTCTCTTAAGAAGCAGCAAATACAGATTTATCTTTTCGGTAGGCAGCACAGTAAAAGGATCAAGACTCGGGCTAGAGTAACTCTGATTTAGTTTTAGTCATGTTGAATTTGCTGGCTAAGAATGGGATGTGTACCAACAAATGGTAGTTATTGATGGAACCAAAATGCAACTTAGGGCTTGAAGAATATCCAAAATACAAGAAAAACAAATTAGTAGTAAAAGATTATGGATAATAAACTGCATAGTAATCAGGGAATTAAACTGAGGGCTAGAGGGAATAAGCTTAGAAGGTTGAGATTTTGTGACCTTTGTGATGGGGCATTGATGGTCTAATGGATAGAGAGAATCCCAAGAGGGTAGATTTTAGATTAGATATTAGGAAGAAATTCTTAACTGTGAGGATGGTGAGGCACTGGAACAAGTTGTCCAGAGAAGCTGTGGATGCCCCATCCCTGGCAGTGTTCAAGGCCGGGCTGGATTGGGCTTTGAGCAACTTGGTGTACTGAAAGGTATCCCTGCCCATGGCAGAGGATTGGAAGTAGATTATTTTTAAGGTCACTTCCAACCCAAGCCATTCTGTGATTCTGGTGTTAGATGAATAACTTAAGAGCCTTACTCCCAAGCAGGTTGTTTAAATACCAACTGACTAACCTTGCACATGATTGCACATGGTGGCCTTTGGATTGAAGACCAACTACTTGAAAACTGAGAAATAACTAATTTTTATCAGGTTTCTTTTTTGGTGTTTGTGTGTGTTTTTCTTTCTTTCTTCTGGATTAATAATTTCCATCTCAGAAAGATTACTGATTAAGAAAACTTGAGTTACATGGATGTTGCATACTACACCATCTTTGTAGACTAATGTTTTTGTTTTATGAGCTAGACATGCCTCAAGAAAAATCTGCTTCACCTTCTTCAGTAGCATCAGTTGAAGGACTGAGATGGAGGAACGGTTTCCAGTGGTGCCTAATTTATCGAACCACATCTTCTGGCTGATCTGAGCATGGTGACATCCAGCCAGCTCTGTTGTTACCTGCAGTGGACTGTGGGGGTTGATGTGCATAACCTTCTATCACAGAGGGACTGATCATAAAGCTTTGACCAGAGACTAAGCAAATTCCCAGTGGACTTCACTTTAAAAAGATGATTTTTTGTCCTATTTTTATTCCTTGGACTTTAATAGAATGCCAGATCAGTTACTCTTGATTTATTGCATTCTTTATAGGGTCCTGTTCTACACCCACCCCAATGGTATCAGAATGTCTTCTGGACTTCCTGCTGATGAAAAACATTAGAAAACAAGACTAGCGTCTGTCAATGGGGTTCCCTCTCGACTTCTCTCTACACACCTTTCCTTTTGGGGGAGAAGAGGAGAAGAATAGTATGTGAGTTGTTTGAATTTTAATGACAAACTCCCTCAATTGTATGTTTTGTACATAAATTAAGGTTTGGGGGGATTACATACACAGTAAAAACCTTTTTAATAATTTTCGTGGGGTTTGTGGGGGGGGAGGGGTTATTGAGGCTTCGTTTGTAGCTGGTGTCTTATATGTGAGGGGATTTTGCAGCTGTTTACAGGAAAGTCTTGTCATCTGAGGCAAAGATTTTCTGTTGACAGGGATCTTGCTTTTTGTAGTCAAGTAAAGCTTTTCAAGACGTTTGAGACTTGTCAAGGACAAAGTGCTGTTTGGGGATTTTCTTTATTTTTTTTTCTTCTTCAGACTTGTCCTGGATGGATGAATTATTTAGAAATAAGGACTAAGGTGGTGTAAATGCTCCTGGATCCTCTGCCAGCTATTTAGGAACCAAATACCTGAGAAGCTCCCAGTGACCTTTTTCAGTGCAGGGTAGTTCTTTTGTATTCTGTGCCCATTTTAGTTTCTTGAATCTTAGTCTAAATTGCACTATGCTGTAATTTAGGAAACAGTTGACACAGCTGACAAAGGCACATACTTCTAAATCTAAGCCCATGGGATACCTGATCACTTTACAAGCTTGTACAGGAAATCTAGATTTTACTAGTAATTATATTTTAAGTGTGTACATACATGACAGCAGAACAACTTACCAAAGACTTCTCATCTTGATGCTAACATTCAAGGTGAAAGGTGTTGGATTTCTCCTTCCTGGGTGAGATGATAGTAATTTTCTGAATAGAACTTAATACAATTCTAGTGTTCATGTTCTTTTACAAAAACGCCACAAGTATTCCTGCCATGTAGATACAAGGAGATCTGAAAGAAAAACTTGGAATTTTATGTAGATAGAAGAAATATAAAGAACTTTTTCCTCAAAAATTCAGATTCTGTTTCCTTTAAGAATAGTCAAGTGATCTACTGGGAAATATTAATGAATCCAGTTCTTTGGCTCAAGAATTCTGGGTTTTCATATTTAAAAAATAGCATCTTGTCCTGTATCAGAAATAGTGTGGCCAGGAGGACCAGATTGTCCCTCCGTACTTGGCACTGGTGAGGCCACACCTCAAATCCTGTGTTCAGTTTTGGGCCCCTCACTAGAAGAAAGACACTGAGGTGCAGTAGCATGTCCAGAGAAGGATAATGAAGTTGGTAAGGGTCTGGAGCAGAAGTCCTGTGAGGAATGGCTGATAGAGCTGGGGTTGTTCAGCCTGGAGAAAAGGAGGCTCAGGAGAGACATTGCTCTCTACAACTACTTGAAGGGAGGTTGTAGACAGGAAAGGGTCAGTCTCTTCTTCCAAGGAGCAACAGATAAGAGGAAACAGCTTCAGCTTGCACCAGGGGAGGTTTAGGTTGGGTAATCAGAAAAACTTCTTCACAGAAAAAGTTTCCAAGCACTGGAATGGGCTGCCCAAAGAAGTGGTTCAGTCCCCATCCCCAAGGTATTAAAAGACATGTTGGTGTGGTGATGAGGGACATGGTTTAATGGTAGACTTGGCAGTGCTGATTCTATTCCATGTTGGTTTGGATTTTAGTTTGTGTTTTAACTGTTCAATGAAAGTGCCTGTGTTTAATTATTCCGTCACTTTTTTGTGTTTGGGTTGTTGTTTTTTTTTTCCTCAGGAAAAGTGCAAAATGTTTCAAATTCCTGTTCAAAATCTTGATAATGTCAGGAAGGCTCGAAAAAAGGTGAAGGACATTCTTGTGGATCTTGGGCTTGACAGCTGCAGGGAATCGTTGAAGGTAAAGCATTTGAAAGAACGTAAACCAATCTGAAATTTAAACCCTTGAAAAATATTTCACTTTCTAGTGTATTTATGATGTTCCTCTGCCATAGATCTTTATGGGTCTATAGATCTACCATAGATCTAATGAGTCACTAATTACTCATTAGTGACTGATCATATGCCAGGGGAGGAATTTCTTGTGTTAGTGTGTAGCATTGAAAGAAAATGTATTTCTCAACAGGATGTGTTATAGATTGGTGCTGCATATTCTCTGCTAGTAATGTTTAAACAGAAGGAACAGTACAGCCTCAAGAAAAACACCACAGACTAAAGAACTTTTATGTTCTATGCAGCAGCTTTTCATTTTTTTTTAAAAATTGTCGGGATTTCTGAAAACAGCCTGGCAATTAAACCCAGTAATCTCGTTGCAGGCCTTTAAACTTTGTGACCAGAGAAAAATACCAAAACTGTTTTACTGAGTTGTAGTTTGGTTTTGCATCTTAAAAAGTATATGCAAGTGTACTAGGGAGATTAAGATGAACCTAGTACCATTGCTGCCCCTTCCTGGAGAAAATTCTATGCAACAATCAGGAGGAATGCACACCGGCAGATTGGCAAGCCTAATACCAGGAAAAGTGCAGACACAGTAATACAACTAGATGACTAAACAGTAGTATATTTCAGTGAGCTACTGCACAGTCTTTTTGGCTTTTTATTCGTGACTTCACCTTGACCGCAGTCAAGAGTTTGGATTGCTTCTGTATGGTGGAACTAAGGTAGGTTTGATACTCTGTAGGACTGCTGTTATGTCTTTTGTGGTGGTTTTTTTTTGAAACTGTATAAGCAAATGATTGGAAAAAAAATTGTACATGCATAACTGATTTTGGAACATTCTTGGTTATTGCAGCTGAACAATGTTGGATGTATCTAAATGTCATAATAGCTCAGGGAAAATTGTAATGTCTAGTAATTTCCATTTACTTACTGTTTTTATTGTGTTATGTTTTGTTTTGTAATCAATCCTCTAACTCAGAACCTGAGTCCGTCTTTACTGAAGTAGAAATGTTTTGATGGTGCCAGGATTTTACTGTGAAAATGCTTGCAGTCTCTTTGATTGCAACATGGACTTTATTGGTGAATGAGGAATGAGGTGTTTTGTATTTGGTTGTTTTTTTGGGGGGGTGTAGTGTGCATTAGTGTGCTTTTTATTGGTTTTGCTTCATTTTTAGTAAATGGTGGTGGTGGGAAAGCCAGCAAACATCTCCGTTTCGGAAAAAGCACTGAGATTTGGGCCAAAAAAATACCATCTTAGGGTTTTTTGCAAATAATTCTCCCTTAACCAAGTTCATAATTTTAGGGATTTTTTTTTTTTCCAGGTAATCTGGGGCTGGTTTTGGTACAACTTTAGCAGCAGGAAGAATGGTTTCTAGAGTTTGATTTGTACTTGGCTCATATGATGATGGTATTTTTTTTTGGCAATATAGGGTGTGTGAGGTCTTAATAGAATGGAATCATAGAATGGCCTGGGTTTGAAGGGACTTTAAAGACCATTTAGTGGGAAGTAGCTAAAGCTTGTTTGTTTTCTCAAATACTGAAATTGAGTTTTGGGCTCCTTGTGAGGAGGCTGGACAATTTAGGAAATGGTATGAAATGATATGATAAAATGTGACTTTCCATCTGGTCTTAAAATTGGTCTTACACTGTTCTAATTAGGCATGATAATGGACAGTAGTTTGTGAGGAAGATGATGGATTTTCACGTATGACTAGTATCTCTTTGTAGCTTAAAGACCAAATTAGTTTTTAGCTACTGGGAAGAAAACATGAGCCTTTTGTGCTAGATTACTAGTTTTATTCTCCAAGTAGTGTGTTCAAGTACATTGTAATGTCAGAGGTTTTCCTTTAATAAACTGTTTTAGCTTCTCTAACATACTGTGATCTTTAGGGCCAAGAAGATGATCAGGGGATCGAGCACCTCTGCTTTAAAGACAGGCTGAGAGAGTTGGGGTTGGTCAGCCTCAGGAAGAGAAGGCTTTGGGGAAACTTCATTGCAGCCTTCCAGTACCTAAAGAGGTCTTGTAAAAAGGAGGGAAAGGGACTTTTTATATGGTAGTGACAGGACAAGGGGCAGCAATGGTTTAAGTTGAAAGAGGGTAGGTTTAGATTAGATGTTAGAAAGAAATTCTTTCCTTGGAGGGTGGTGAGGCACTGGCACAAGTTGCCCAGAGAAGTTGTGGATCCCCGTCCCTGGCAGTGTTCAAGGCCAGGTTGGATGGGGCCCTGAGCAACCTGGTGCAGTGAGTGGCATCCTGCCCATGGCAGGGGAACTGGAACTAGATGATCTGTAAGGTCCCTTCCAACCCAAACCATGTTGTGATTCTATTCTGTGTCTTCATTTAAACTATAAGCTCTTTATCTTTTGTTCTGGAAAACAGTGATGGTTTTAATACAGAAGAGAGAACAGTTCTTAGTTTAAGAATATTTTTCTCTTTAATGTAAAAATACCCACTATACATCAGGATTAGTCAGGCTTCTCTGGGGGTTTTTGTTCCCTTCTTGTTACCTTTCTGATCTGTTTTTCTCCCCTCCTGTGAGAGAGTGAGAAATGTGGGAAGGGCATAACAAGTTAGCAGACCTCTGTTTAAACCAAGTGTTCACAATAGACATTTGCACCTTTGACTGATTGTATTGATAAGAATGGTTACATTTGTCATTAAATATTTCTCTGTAAGAAATAGCTGTTGCAGCAAAATTGTCTAGATGTGTATTATCACACACATTTGGCTTGTGGGAATGTGGTGTTTAAGTCTAGGAGCCTCAAACCAGAAATGAAACATTTTTTGGATAAGCCAGAAACTTTAAGAAAACTCTTTTTAGCAGTGTGTAATTTGCTCCAGCATATTTGGCCGAAGAATTCTTAGTAAATCTCAAGTCTCTTAATTTTCTCTATGAAACGTAGTTCTCTGAAGTTCTGGGATTACTCTTGTTCCATGCAAGAGTTCTTTCTAAGGTGTTTCTGGTTTTTTTTATAAGAAGGTTTGGCTGAAGGGCAAATAGATGACTCATTTAGTGTCTAGGTGTTGATTAGATGGAAACGGATTTGTTTATTGTTGCCCTGAGCTTTTCTGGGTTCTTGTCAGGCAAACTTGACTGTTGAAAAAGCTAGAAAGCTTATTGCAAACTCAGCTACATTTTTCTAAATTCTTGGATAATGTAATTTAAATCAAATTATCACTGGCAAGATGTTCTGTCTTGCTGTAATTTGTTAAACACAAAGGAATACTCATATTTGCAAGGACAGGAACCTAGTGCAAACAGAGCCTGCATGAAGTAGGATTCTGTATTTTATTGATTGCTAGAGGCTTTGTTTCTCTTTGTTGCTTGGTATATCCTCTGCTGATGCTAAATTTCACATAAATACTGCATGGGATTTTTTTTTACCATGAACTATTAGGTTTATGGATTCCACTTCTCTTGTCAGGTGATCTGAACTTAAATGGTATTTATTATCTGCTTCTGCTGTTCCAGTGGTGTTTGGTGTAGAATTGAAAACATCTAGTTCTCTCTAGGTATCTGCGGAATTTTGAGTGAAGAGTGGTTTGTGAAAGGGAAGGAGAATGTGAGGGGCAAAGCGATGCTGGTTTTCTGTGGGTAAAGCCTGGATTCGTAGCCTGTGGTTCATCTAAGGCTCTCTGGTCTGCTGTTGGAGCTAGCCTAGGGTCTTCAGAAACGCCTAGGAAACAGGAATCTAGTTCGGTGTGTGTTTTTTTTTTTTTTTTTAAATTAAGTTTGTGTTTGGATATGTGCGGGCCTTAGAAAACTGAAGACGAACTTTAGGATTTTTAGGGTAATAGCTGGCTTTGGCTTGAGGAACATAAACTGCTCTGATGGGTTGATTAGAAGAAAGCTGTAAGGAAAGTTGCTTCCCTTGACACAGGTGTTCCAGACATGATAATATTGTTACTTTTATAGCTTGAGGAAAAGTAGTGCAGCTCTTGGAAACAAGCTTCTGTGAATGTCTTTTGTTTTTCCAAAAAAGTATAGCAATGCTATGAAGATTTAATACTAAAATCTGTTGCAAAGTAAAGCATTGTGGTAAGTTAATAAATGGAAGTAAGCAGTGAAATATTACAGATGTAGGTGGAAGAAAGTAGAGGGGGAAAATATATTTCAGTGTTCACTGTGAACTTGGCTGGAAACAATGGAATTAAAGTGTAAATATTTTCACTCCATATATTATTTTCAGTAACTATGAAATGTTCAGAATTCCTGCTCTATTGCCAGCCAGACATATGAACAAATATTTGAGGTAAAATAAATCAAAGAGTGGTCAAAGAAGTAATTTCTTTTAACTGAGTTTTGGGACCTATATCTGAATACTGTATGGATTTCTGAGTCATTCTCTCTTTATGTGGGTTTTCTTTTTTTATTTTTCCTTATTTTCTGTTGAGAATTTCTTTATATTTAAAACAGACTGCAAAAGCAGATTATTTCTTTGTTTCCATTTTTCTTTTAGAATCTTCAAAGTTTTGACGCAGGTGAAAGCTACTTTTATAACACTTCGTGGAGCGATGTCTCTCTTTGGGAACCTGTGGGTAAAAGGAAAGTATGTATAAAATTTGCGTTAGAAATTCTGGGTAGACATGTATGTGGAGTTGCTGAATTTTATAATTTTCAGAAATTGGAATACAGTTTTTTATGGTAAAAAAATAGCTTTAAAGTTTTTTTTCTAAGTGCTATTAGTCAGGGAATAATCTTACATTTCCCTGTGTTTTTCCCTGTTATGTGTCTGGTTATAAGGACTGCATGTCATTTGCTGTTTTTAAGGTTATAACCTTGAGTATCAGTATTTAAGATGTCACACTAATGTTCTGCTTTTTTAGCCTAATTTGATGTGTAGTATTAACATGTTCTTGTGTACAACATGGCTCTTGTTTCATTGGAAGGGTGAAAATGAGATTGCATAGATGCAAGTGGATTAAGCTGAAATTATCATTGGTGGCTTGGCCTAGGGTGGCAGTGGAAGACTATTTCCAGTTAGATTTGTGTATGTGAAACAGCTTTTAAAACATCTGCCTCTACCATCTTTAAAACAAACTAAGGCTTCGAAGTGGAATAGTTGCAGCCCCCAGCACACAGGCTGAGCAAACAAAGCCACTCAGTCTTGGCCAAGCTGTCATTAAGTAGAAAGTGATCCCTTCTGCCCATCAGGACCCTTGTCTGCTTTGTCTCCTATTTCTCCCTTCCTGAAGTTGTGTTCACACATTTAAGACTAGGGGTTGATCTGTTCACATGACTTTGTGGATGAAAGAGTCGAATGTGACGTTTGTTTGACTGGGGACACATTGTGTCTAGCCTCTTCCCGCCGCTTCAGATAAGGCTTACAGTTACCTCCAGTAAAGACTACCTTTAGTTTAGGGGAATAGAATAAATCCTGTTAATTGTTATGATGGTTTCTCTTTTTCCCTCCCCTTTTTTATTTCTTCTTTATGCGCATGAAAAACATCTTCTGTTATCAGGTCTGCTGGCCCCATCCAGCATGTTATCTGAGCTCTGGTCTTGCTGATTTTGTCTCTTTTGCCTTTTCCTCTACCTTCTGACTAAAGAAAGAAGTTCAGTGTTGGGAGGTCTGTGTTAGATGAGCAAGGAAGGTTCCCCTTCCTCCTCAAACGTGAAATAGGGAAGAGTAGGATGAAGATAGACCGAGTGAAGCTTATCTTCCTTCACCAGTGCTTTAGGCAAAATGATTTCAGTGAAAATGGAAATGTGCACTAGAGAGGGAATCTTCTTTCCTCCCTATTGTCTGGAGGGAGACAAGGCAGAGAGACCTGATCGCTTACCAGAAGGGAGAAATATGTGTCCTGACTCAGCTAGTCAGCATGACCAACTGTGTCTGTATCTGTCCAAAAAACAAGATTGGAATCTGATCGATGAAATTCAGTGCAGAGATGGTGATATGTTGCTGTGGAGCAGATTTGCCAAGCAGTCTCTTTTGGTTACTAAACTTGTTTCTATCCATTTTCTTTATACAATCATGGTTCTTTGATATATATCATTCACATATCATGTTGCCTAGACTTTAGAGAGAAGACGTGGTCCTTCAGGATGCTCTGTTCCAAAGTTGTTGCCATAAGGGGAAAAGAAGTTGTTTGAGCTACACTGGAAATTCAGTAGGCTGGAGAAGATACCTATTTAAATGAAGTTGGTGGTTTCCAGCGTTAGTACTGCTTTTAGGGAGACATTAACGGTTCGGGAAGAACTTCAGTTCTTGGAGGCTGTTCTGTCTTTCTGCATGTCTCTAGGTTGTGGGGAATGTGAGACTACACAACGGAAAGAGTTACTATGTGCTGGGGTATGTTCTTCGGAGTAGGACTAATCAAGTTTTCCTCAATATCTCTAATAAGCCTTTTTTTGGATACCATTTTGTACAGTTGAGGGTTGTATTGGTCAATCTCTAATATGCTTTGTTTTTCCTGAGGGGCTTAAAATTCTTATTTTGTCAAATTTTCTATAAAACTGGGATGGACTGGTAGACTGTCGTAGCACTTGTGAACAGAAAAGGCAGATCAGATGAGTATGCAAGGAGAACATGCTGGCAAAATTATTTCTAAGATGTCTTTTTTTGTTCTTTTGTGAAGTCTCATAATTTTTACCTCCATCAAAAAAACCGGAATGAACTAAGAAGACATGGAACATATTTCCCTAGACTTATCAGTATGCAGGCACTGGGGCTGCTCGATACTTGTTTGAACATCATTGCTACAGAACAGCAAATTAATTCAGCAGTTGGACCTCTTATCTGTAGAGTGTTCTAACAGCATTTGTTCAGCATCTAACAGCAATTGTTCAGACTTTGCAGGAAGGAAACACTGACACTATGGTACAAGTTTATGAGGACAAAAAGACCCAAACCAGAAATGGGGCAGGGGATGGAACTAAGGGGTCAAGAGGCCCAATATTTTAAAACATATAAGTTTTTCTAAGCCTTGGACAACCAATTAAAATAAGCAGTCACCTCTCTTTGTCACTTAACTCCTTCAGAAGTAAGGTGCATCTTTTAATGATGTTCTGTATGCTTCATTAGTTCAGTAGTGTCAGTGGCCTTTCTCTAGGCAACATACTTTAAAAGTAAGATTGATGCATCTTCTAGTTTTCTCTGTTGCTGTTTACTAGCAGCTGGGATTAGACACCGAAAGTGTCTAAATAGAAGATAATTCAGTGATACCTTAGCAATGTACTTCTTCAGCAGCCTTAGCCAACCAGTGGCATTATCTGACCCCGTCCCTTGCATTTGGAGCTTAGATTTTCGTTAGCATCAGGTCATTCTTGTAGTACTGCTAGTAGATGACTATCTGTTATCTGTAGATGACTGACTATAACCTCCATGGCTATATGAAATGACAAAAAACCAAACCCTGCACATATTTCGTTACCGTTCTTCATAATGTGTCAGTGAGATATATGTGGGTGATCTAACTAGGCTGGATGCTCTACTGGCAGCACAGCTTGTTCCCTTTGGATTCATAAGGGGCAGAAATCAACGAGGTGAAGAACACATATAGAGGGAACAGAGAGATTCCACTAGATGTCTGAGGGGGCACATTTGTCACATGGATGTTGCTGTTATTCTGTAGTTTTTGGCAGAAGTTGATCAGAAGTTGGTCAGAAAAAATGGTTGACAGGGTAGCAGTTTTTCAGAAAGAGCAAATAATGTTCACATGGATACAAAAAGTCATGCCATCATGTGACATATAACTGAGGGACCAAACCGCTGCTTAGTGGAAGATAGTTAGGTATATTCTTATACAGTTAAAATACTTTCCTGAGAAGAATCTGTAGGCTGTATACTGAGTGTGCTAGAGGAAATTTCTGAAAAAAATTACTATGATGGGATGTCCAGTTGGTATGAGACAATACAAAGAGGACATTGCTGCTTTTTCGTAAAAGGGGGTTTTTATTCCTTTCTATTATTATTTTAGCTCTAAAAGAATGTTCTTAAAAAATTAGTCATTTTTGGCTTTGCTGGGAAGGTACTTCTGGAGAGTTTTCAGGGAAGAGTAGGCTAATGAAATACAGAAGAAGGATCCTGCCTGTTCTCTCTTCTCTCTCTTTCTCTAGTAGATGAGAGCTGGCCCTAAACTAAATAAAGCTTTAAAAGTGTCATATTAAAAGGGCTGCTATTCCTAATTGCTAAGGCTTAACCTCCTGTGTATGGTGGCATACAAATTCTTCTTAGCTTGTTCTGTGATTCCCATCTTTAAAAACGGGCTTCAGAATTACTTCTTTTGAACTGGGGTAGAAATGAACTCACTTAAGGCTTCTCAATAAATTATAATGAAGCAAAGTGGGCACAGATGTTTCTCTCTTTAAGTATGTCATCTTTAAATCTGCTTTTCAAAACCAGAAGAAACTGAGAAGATACATGCTATATGTCCAGTGAAGGCATTTTTGACAGGTGATGGTGCAGACTTAGTTTTAAAGAGATAACAGCAATGTAGGAATTGGCAGTTTCTAAGTGGTTGTTTTTGTTTTGTTTGCAGAGATACAGAACAAAGCCGTACTGCTGTAGCTTATGCAAGTTCTCATCAAAATTGCTTACTTCATTCAAGAATCACTTGCATCGTTACCATGAGGATGAAATGGACCAAGAGATGGTGGTTTCTTGCCCAAAATGTGCGTTTTCTTCTCATCCCAAAGTAGTAGGAAAACACATCCGGATGTTTCATTCATCTAATAAAAGAATACAGAACTATACAGTCAGCATTTTGGATGGCATGAAACAATTTAGGACTGACATCATAAACTTCACATGTCTAAAATGTCATTTCACAGACACCTTATATTACAATATGAAGAAGCACGTGCTGATGAACCATTTTGAAAACTTAGTAAGTATATATTTTGGTGAGAAACCTGACGACAGTACAGCAAATTCAGTTGAGTACTACTGTAAAAAGTGTAACGCTTCTGCAAACAGCCCAGATTCTTTAATGTATCATGTCTTGACAGCTGAAACACACCGAGACCTAGAGAACAAACTTCGGTCTCTGATTTCAGAACATATTAAGAAACCTGGACTAGTGAAAAAAATGTCTATTGCTCCAAAGCCTCTCCAAGGTGTGACAGTGGCTGCTCCATCTGCAGGGCCTGCCGTTGTCCCAGCAGGTTCCGTCACAGCTCCAGCTTGCATCCAGCTTTCATTTCCACAGAATAATCAAAACCAGAGTGCAGTGCAGCCAAAAGGAGTTCAAAACACAGTTGGATCACTGACTGTTCCAAGTGCCTCTGGTAGCCTTCCACATACAACTTCTGCTCCCGTCGTTACGCCGTCACACGTCGCTCTCGTACCCAGCAATCCTCCTGTAGGTCAGAACATTAGTATTCAGCCATCTCCTTCCCAGCCTATCATTGTTTCTCATGGGCTCCCTCTTAATCATTCTGTTGGGACCATAAATAGAACTGTGGCCCCTGCAGTTCTTCCTCTTAATCAACCTGTCAGGCCTGGGCTCTTTCCTGTTAATCAACCCATTGGTACTATAAATGGTCCAGTTCCAGCTGGAACACTACCTATTACTCAGCCCGTCGGCCCTGTGAATCGACCAGTTGTACCAGGAGTCCTCCCAGTGAATCAACCAGTTCCTCCAGGAGTTCTCTCTGTCAACCAGTCGCTTGGGAACATGAATAGACCCATTGATCCCAGAGTCTTCCCTGTGGCACAGACGGTTGGGTCAGGTGTTCTCCAACTTAACCAGCCTGTTGCATCTGGTGTGGTTCCTGTCAGACAGCCCATTGGACCTGGGTTTCTTCAGCTTAACCAACCTGTTGCCCCAGCAGTTATCCCAGTAAATCAGCCAGTTCAACCTCCAGTTTCTCAAAACGCAACTTTTTTGACTGCAGGCTCTATACTGAGGCAGTTGATTCCCACTGGAAAACAGGTTAATGGTATACCTACGTACACACTATCCCCAGTTTCAGTTACTTTGCCAGTACCTCCTGGTGGTGGAGTAGCAACTGTTGCACCCCCGCAGGTCCCCATCCAGCTCATGCAGTCTGGGTCGGTGGCTCAGCTGTCCCAGTCTCCAGCCGGCGCACCCTCTCCTCCCATGGTTCTGACCTCTGAGAATGTGTCCTTACAGGCCTCCCCTCCTGGTCCTGAAACAAGCCAGGCTATCAGACAGGCCAAGCAGTGGAAGACTTGCCCTGTTTGCAATGAGCTTTTCCCATCAAATGTCTACGAGGTGCACATGGAGGTGGCCCACAAACCACGCGAAGTAAAAGTAGAAATCCCGGAACCTGACAAACTTGCAGCTTGCGCACCCTTTCTAAGGATGACACAAACGGCGATCAGGTGTTGTGCCTGTAAATGTTTTCTCTGTGAGGAAGAGCTCATGAAACATCTCTTCATGCATGGCTTATCTTGCTTGTTTTGCACAGGTACTTTCTATGACTTAAAAAGCCTCGTGGAGCACAACAAAACCAGACACAATGGCAGAAAGCAATTACATGCGAATTACAGCAACAGAGGATTTCAACTGGTTTACGATGGTCAGGGTAGCCTGGTGTTTCCACACTTTGATTTCAATACAATGTTACCAAATGAAGACATGGGTGAAAGAGAAGTACATTTGGCAGTTCTTGTTGGAATAAGTTCAACGATTCTTGTCCCTGTTTACATCAAAGTGAAACCTCAGACAGCAGAAGTGAATAGGAGATGCACCAGAAAAATGTTTACCTGTCCCTTTTGCTTAGGTACGTTTGCTGGTAAAGAAACCTATGAAAAGCATTTGAAAGAGAGGCATCATATAATGCCAACTGTACATACAATTTTAAAGTCTCCTGCTTTCAAGTGCATCCACTGTTGTGGTGTGTACACTGGAAATATGACTTTAACAGCTATCGCTGTACATTTGCTCCGCTGTAGAAGTGCTCCCAAAGACAAAGACACCAACTCAAGCCTGAAGATGCAGCTTGAGCGTACCGAGAGGAAAGAGCTGCTGTTTGTGAATGGTGAAAAGCACGTTTCTGTGATACTGAAAAGAAGGCAGTCGGATTCCTGCTTTGTTGCAGAAGACCAAAGGAATAAGGAACAGCAGGCTCTGAGCTTAAGTGCTGGCATAGCTCTGTCTCCAGAGAAAGAAGTGAATTCAGGGGTAGTGCCTTTCAAACGACAAAAAATTAGGACTGAGGTGAGGAAGCTTCCTTCTAGTGAGGATCTTCGCTTTCTGGCGGTAGATCCTAATCAGTATGATCACAATTCGTATGAGGCGCAAAAACAGTTCTTGTTAGACTATTTTCACAAGAGGCCATATCCTTCTAAAAAAGAGGTGGAATTACTTTCCTTGCTGCTATATGCGTGGAAAATTGATGTTGCATCATTCTTTGGAAAAATGAGGAATAAATGCTTGAAGGCGATAAAAAATCTCCAGCCATCTGTGCTGCTGGGTTTCAGTATGTCTGAACTAAAAACTGTTAAGCACAGTTTGATTTTCAATGATGAACCATTAAATGATGAACCATTAGATACATAAACAAGCTTTTTCTAACAGCTAAAAACAATCCATAATTGCATACTTACCAGTTTAGCAGTTTATTATATTATTTGTTTTAACTTGCAGACTGACCTGTTGAAGGGTACAGTAGTACAAAAAGTATCGTTCAGTTGTGACTGTTCTTGTGAAAGGCACACGTAGTTGTGTATTTGAAAAAGCTAAAACCTTCAGACGTACACATCTGGAATTTGTTTTAGCGTTTTACTTTTTCTGGAGTAGTGTTGTGGGGTTTGTTTTTTGGGGTTTTTTTTGTGAATTTTTTTTTGTTCCACTTCATTTCCCTTTCTTCCCCTTCAGACTCCCCTTACACTTTTTATACCACCATGTAAAACACTTGTCCTGTTAAAAACAAATTTTATTTTTCTGCAATGTCGTCATCTTCTCTCAATAATAAAATGTGTAAGTTGGTTAAAATACCGAGGTAAACTATGTGAAAAACATGTATGTGATTATTTGTGTTTTTAAGTCCTCCTGATTCTGAAAAAATGATTGCGGCCTTTCCATTCGTTGCCCCTTCAAATTCCCAATGCGCTGGTAGCAATGGCAATCTTTTTTTTTCTTTTTTTTTCCTCCTCAATCAAAATACCTGTGCCATTTAAGTCTAGTGACTTGTAGTTTCTTCTGAGTATTAACGTGGTGAGGATTGAGGGGCTTGCAGGTGCCTATTGAAGTGTTATAATGAACCGACTTTAAATGGTTATTATCTGTTAAAAAGATCTTGCTAACAAGAAGTGTTTACTCTTTTTATTGGTGTTGAAGCCTGGTTGTTTAAATACCTATTGTTCTAGGCTTGGTAGCAGCATTTGTTTTATTTTCTTTTTCAAAAAGAAGAGCTGCTTTGGAGAGTGTCAGGTTGCTTTGATACATGGAGTATATGACTTCTGTGCACACCACTTACCTGTAGAAACCCTATCCAAATATCACCAAAATTTGGTGAAAAATCTGACTTTTATTTTGAATTACTGTTTTATGAGGTAGGAACTGAGCAGAGCCTCTTCCCCAGCAAATTAGATCCCTGGCTTGAAGTCCTTTGGATGAGAAATTGTACAGACTGAAACTGGATTAATTAGTAGCATCAAGACTTTAAACTGTTGAGTACCTGAACCAATGATATTCATGTAGTGGTTGTTTTTTATTAGCCTATAGAGAGCATCAGAATAGTATAAAACTGAAACAGACTTATCTTCAATGTGAAGGAACATCCCTGTTACAGATCACAGAAAAGCTGTTGGGAAGGTTCACTTGACTTGAAGCATGAAGTGGTGGCCACATTGAGGCCTTGTTGAGTACTGTCCTTTCTTTCTGGATATGCTTGTTTTCATCTGGCTTGTCAAAGAGTGCCTCCAGTCTTAATTAACAGCCAGTTACATAATAAATGACCTGTAAGATGAATTATTTTTTCTTCTTCCTCTTCATCCCCCTCTCCCCACCCTTTTTTCTCAGAAGAAAACAGAAGAATTCACTTGGTGCCAGTGTTTGTTACAAGGAAGGGGTGATATGCCCAAGCTTATTTCTGTTTTTTAAAGTAGTGATCATACTTTTGCCCAGTGCAATAGTTTTTAAAGCAGATGCAGAATGTTTTTACTGCTGTTTCTGAACAGGTGTGACATTTTTAGCAGAACTTTCTCCCTGAGGTTCTATAAACTGTTTGGAATTATATTTTGGATAAAATCTTAATATTTTCATATCGATTAGTTCAGAGACTTTTAATGTATTTAATGTATTTAAAGTATGGTTACTAGAGAGGATCTGCTGTTTGGAAAAATGTGGTGCTTTAATAGCAGGGTTAAACAAGTATAAGCACCATTAATGGGATCATCCACACGCCCCACCCCAAAAACTGACAGTGATTAAGAAACAATGTGTTCTTACAGTCTAATAATAACTCATTAAAAAAAAATTATATTTGACCATAGCACAGTTCATAAAACTTTCCAAAGGGCTTTGAGTGAGGAAGAGAGATGCTCCATAGAAGTTCTGAAATGTAGGCACTCATTCTCACTCTTATAGCCTTGGTCCGGTGAGCCCTGTCATCTTTGGGGTAGTTCTGCTCGTATTGGTGAAACTCCAATGGAGGAATTTGGCAGCATGCATCTGGGGAAGGCTTACCATGAGTGATGAAAGATTCTAGCTGTAACAGCATGGCTGTGGGGAGCTAAGAAGTTATTTCAGGGTTCATCCACGCTCGAGGCGCCAAGGGAACAGTGCAGTCTTACCAGAGTTTTTCTACATAGTATCCAGTATTGATGTTAAGCATTTTATTTATTGTACTTTGATTTCACAATTTTAAATAAACCAGATTTCTAACTTTCTCTTAGGTATGTGTGCAAATGATTACCTCTCCTCTCCCTTCCCCCTTTTAATACATTCAGAGAACTTAATGTGAACGTTTCTTTTGGTGCAAAAGGCTGTTAAAAGAGACAAAAGGAAAGTAAGACGTAGAACTTAGATCCAGACGCTTTAGGTAGACCTAAGTGCATGATAGTAGTATCTTTTTATTATGTCATATCCTGATAGCTACATATTTTCCTAGAGACTGATTCTCTTAAATCTTGGTACTAATTTGCTATCACTGAATGCTCCTGCTCTCATTGAGTGAGTACTGTAGAAATAAAGAAAAAACAGATGAATTTTGAAAATGGTGACTGAGAACACAGTGTGTGGTCATGTTTTTCAGGAAAGCCAAGGATCTTGAAATCAGCCAAGATATAAAAAGCAGTGGCTTTAACTAAATTAGGCTGTACGCTTCTCATGTGTGAAGTAATTAGGTTAGAAAGTGTTAACTCTGGGAAGATACTATTGCTGCTGTCTGGGGCTCCACGTCGGCAGTGTGGTAGATACTCTCCGGCACTTTTCTAAGGACAGGGCCTCATATTTCTGGGATGTGCTGTCGGGAATGGAAAACAAAGGAGCTGCCCTCTGCAACAGACTTGGCGAATACAAGCCCTTGAAGCATATGGATGAAGCTCTCTGATACACTGTAAAAGAAACCCAGTTGGGAAGAATACTGATTGGTTTGCAGGATGATTGTAGCAAGTAGTTGTTCCTTATGGGACTGAAAGAACACCAAATACACCTACGTATATTCTGCTTGTCACATGTATTGGTCTGGAGAGTCATCCATGTCTGAGAAATATTTTGTTGTGGCATGAGTTTTGTTCTTGTGAAATAGCATGATGACCTATTATTTCAATATGTAATAGGAAGGTTTATTATTATAATGTGACTTGGTCATGTTTCTTCTGTATATGCCTGTGTGCTGGGAGTTAAGTTAATACTGTTTGGTAAACTGTCGTTTTGGAAGGGCCAGTAACCAAAACACCTTTGTGATTGGTTTTCTGTATTGTATGCTTGTGTAGAGTGTGCCTACCTTCACCATTGCATCCAGCGTTTTTCCCCTTCAGTGCTTAAAGTTCAAGAAAGCTCAGGGGCTTATTTAGATAGGTGTTGGGTATAAAAGATACAAAAGTATCTATAAAAGTATTGTCTACTGCAGCTTGATTTGTCAGATTTGACCCTGGATATGCTTTTGTAGGAAAGATACTTGATAAGTAGCAAAGTACTTGATACTTGCTAAGTACAGATACATGGAGGAAAAAGTTGCAATCTAATAGCAAGAGAAAAAAAAAAGAGACCAAAAAAAGCTTAATGAAAATTATTCATGGCGTTTTTTAAAGGTAGGAGAATTTTCACTCATACCTCTGCAAAATGTATGTGAAAAGGATAAATTGAGGGTATTCATGAACTATGATGTAGTCACCATCACGGAAACATGATGCGATGATTCACATGACTGGAGTGCTACCATGGGTGGCTACAGGCTCTTCAGAAGGGACAGGCAAGGTAGGAAAGGTGGAGGGGTGGCTCTGTATGTTAGAGAGTCTCGTGACTGTGGAACTTGAGGTCAGTAACAATACAGTTGAGTGCCTGTGGATCAGAATCAGGGGGAAGGCCAACAAGGCTGACATCCTGGTGGGAGTCTGTTACAGACCACCCAACCAGGATGATGAGGGTGATGAATTATTCTACAAGCAGCTGGCGGATGTCTCAAACTCGCCAGCCCTTGTTCTCGTGGGTGACTTTAACCTGCTGGATGTCTGCTGGGAACTCCACACAGCAGAGAAGAGGCAGTCTAGGAGATTCCTAGAGTGTATAGAGGATAATTTCCCGCTCCAGCTGGTAAATGAGCCTACCAGGGATGGGGCCCCACTAGACCTCCTGTTCACAAACAGAGAGGGGCTGGTGGGAGATGTGGTGGTTGGAGGCCATCTGGGGCACAGTGACCATGAAATAATAGAGTTTTCAATACTCAGGTGTTGGATCAAGAATTGGACTTGATCTCAGAGATCCTTTCCAACCCAGCTGATTCTATGATTCTATGAAGCAGAATTTTGTGGTGCTGCATTTAAAGTCTTAACACCTTGCCTTAGTCCCTAGGTATCTCATTTTGTCTGTTCAGATCTGACAAGCAGACTGCAGCTGTGATCATTTCTCTTTTTTACTTGTGTAGCAGATCCCAAAACATGTTTTATGTAGTTCTTTTTACTTTGCATTTGTCCAGTTTAACATACTGAGTTAGAGGGGGCGTCTGTGGGGTGTGTGTGCCTACAGTGCTGCCCTGTGTGTGTGAGAAGGTATCAGGAACACGCAAAAGTGGGTCGTGTGCCCATCCTCGAATTCCACATAAACTACTGTTTATTAACACAGTGTTTTACCTAGTAGTATGTTGTAATAAGGAGAAGAGACCTCAAGTATCTTTGCAGGTATTCTTATTTTATTTTGGCTGCCTGTCCATTAAACAGGAGTGCTGGCAGTTCTTGCCATCCTTGAAGACTGAGACTGGTAGGTGTTTTATGCATCAAGGTGCACTAAGCAAGCGGAGTATGGGACAGCTGGCAGTGCATGTATGTGATGGAAAACCATCAGGCATGGACATGTCTGGAGAAAGATCTGCTTAATTGTATTGTCAGAGTCAGTGTCAGTTTGTTTTATAATCTAAGTTATGGACAAAGCAAGAAGTCTAAAGCAGAGTTGCTGTCCACGTGCTGCATGGGTGAGGCTGAGGAATGTCTCTGTGGCTTTAGGTAATGCTGCTGCACTCAGCATGATGGTGTCATGCATAGATCCATGAGAATGAAAGGGCAAGGTTTTGGGAGGGGGCAGTCTTCCTAGTGGGACTGCCGTTGTCTCTGCTCCTCACTGATTCTCATCTGGCCGACATCTAACTGACAGCTGCTGTATGAATAGCTGAAGAAGAATCCACAGTTGTGGATAGGTGGAAAAATGCCAAGACACCAACTCGAGCACAGTCAATTACTTTTAATAAATGTAGCAGAAGAGAGATTACAAAGAAGCACTGTAGATTTTCAGTTGGTTTTGCAGAAAAACAGTCAAAGGGGTGAGAATTTACCCTGGCAGTTTCCAGCCTCCAATGAGATATGGAGGACAGTCTCCTGTGGTCTGGGTTTATTGGCTGTGCTGTCACACACGTGGTTTACCAGCAGCATCACCTCTTAGAAAAGATGATGCAGAAAGGATGCCCTTGGAGCCTCTGTGACATACTGCCTTTGGCATGTAAGGACGTGTTTTCCTGTGTTGTGAAATCGTTTCCAGGTCATGAAGGACAAGTGTCCTTAACAATTCATTAAGTAATTTGCATATCAAATAGACACAGTGTCATCCATCTGCCACAGGACTGACATCATACACTATTCTAGAGACCAAGGACTGAGTTACAAGTTTTTCAGAGCTCTCAGTCTCCTCTCCTGATCTGGTGAGAGAATTAGGGTTGCAAGGGCATTACTTAAGCCAAACCTTGACTGGCAGCGGGTCTGAGCAGGTCCCTGCAGAAAGTAAAGGAATGCGAAGAGGAGCTGTGGTCCCTGGATGCTGGGGGCTCTGGGAACAGGCAGTGCCATGGGGGACCCTCTCCAGAGCCCCTCTGAGCATGAGACCAGGCTGGCTGGTGCTGCTGCACCAAAGGGGTTGGGGCTGCCAGGGGCCCATGTAGTCTTGGGCAGAGCAAAGGTCCTTCCACAAGTGAGACTTCTGCCACTGGATTCTTCTTATACCATTTCTGTTCTTTACTAGCTATATTAGAAAGCTTGGAGCAGAGGCTTTCTAATAAAAAATATTCTTCTAAGAAATAAAATGTGAAATATTTATAAAATAAAATATTTTTTAAATAATCTAATAAAATATTTTAAAAATTGCTCAAAAATTCTGAATGCTTTACTCTGGGGGGGAGGGGGTGACCTAGAACAACAGCAGCAGCAATAAAATCCTCTTAATAATTCAAGGTTCCTGGGGGAACAGAGTTTAGCAAAAAGATGTATTAAAAAAAAAAAAAAGACATTTTCTGAGAACAGATGCTTCCTACTGGTTCTGTTGCCCTAAGCCACCTGTCCCTCTGGGGCAATGAGATCAACTGCTCATAGAACTACCTGAAAGTCTTGGCATAGGTTCCGCATTTTATTATCCCCTTTCTGTCTGGTTTTGGAGTAGGTGGAAGAGAAGAGGTCTGCCAGATCTCTGTTACTTGCATAACTTTTGCTTTGTACTACTTTGTGATTGAACATTGTTAGATCTACTTGTGGTTTTGCTGGAGTATTTGCATCATGCTGAGAAATACAGATTTCGGGAAATCTGCAGCTATAAAAACTTCTGATTACAGTGACTTTACTGTTAGAAGATGTTAAGCCATGGAACATGGTCAGCCATGTTCCCTCTCTGTGGGTGAAAGGAGGTGGATTTTTAAAGGAATTAGGAGGGCAAAAATTTACACAGGCAGTTTTAGACAAAAGAATTCACAAATCCTGTAAGCAGACTGAGCCGAGATAGGAGGGGTAAGTTGTGGTGGAAATACTATGTTGGTGACAAGTCCTGAGCAAGGTGGTAAATCCTGCAAGGGAGTTTTTTTCCTTTTCTATTTTTTTCCTTCCTTCCATACCACTAAATAAAAATATACTATTTTTTTTTATTCTGCTTGTATGATAAGTCAGCTTTCCCTGACCTACCCCATGTCCTTGAGCAGTCTGAGCTGCATTCTGTACTGCTGGACGTGCAGTCTGAGGCCTCCAGAAGTTAGGGTATCTCTGAGGAGATATCTCTCCTGGAGGAACATGCCTGGAGAATGGGTGGGAGCAGTACAAACTCAGTTTTAATCTGAGACTCTGTGTATGTAGCTGGGGGGGTTCAGAGCAAGCACGATCTGCTCATGCTGCAGCCAGTGCAGGGAGTCCCAGAATCCACATGGAGGGCTACAAGGGAGAAGCAGTGTCGGGGTTAGGCATCCAGTCAAGGCGCAGCCCAA